TCTTGAATTCATTTGCGTGTTATTAATCTTGTTTTATGTTTGCAAAAAATAATTGTTCTAACATTTTTTTATTCCAAGGATATTTAATTTTTATTTGAGGCTAAATCACTTTGGATGCACTTTTAATAAGCACTTTTAATAAATTTCATCTGACTTTGCGTGGTCAACGATCATCACGACAAGATAAACTAAGTACAAAGTTTCTTTAATTTGTGGTCAATCAAAGATACTTTTTGAGGTTAAACATTCTTTATTTTCTATTGTTTTTATTCATAGTTTATATAGTTCGCTGTACATATAAATATTTAAAAGTACTTTTCGTATTTGAAATAATAAACTCAAATAAAGATCGAAAGAACTCCATTGTCTCAATGTAGAGAAATATAATTTCAAGAGTCCTTTATTCCAATAGATGAAGATTAATTGTGTAAGCACGACCTTGGAAGTCGCAATGTCATGCAACAAACGCGAGGAAAGTTTCAAGGAAGCCTTGAGTTCGGATTAGTGTCGCAATCTCATTGGGGATTATATAATTCGTAAATCCCTACTGGGATGTACGAGACTATTTTCGCGATTTGTAAATAAATTTCTAATTTTTTTCATTTAAAATTTATTGAAAATACATATTTTTTTCTCATAAAATAATGTATATGTATAAAATATCTGTCAAAAATGATTAATGACTTGATGTCATCGTGTAAAAAAAGTTCTACATGCAGGTTAAGAATATCAAATTGGCTTATTTAATGAATAAATGTAGTTTGTTTAAGTTCTATAGTAATTCTAATTCGTTAATCTGTGAGATTAGCCGATTATATAATTGTAATGATACAAAATTATAGTTACATGTACATAGAGGCGGCACTAGTATCGACGGTAGCAGCTAAGGCTCTAATCCGATCGAAACTCGAAACCGACGAGATACGTGCTGCGGTTGTCTTTCGTAATGATCTATTGGTGCTGACAGCAACTTTGCTCTGCGGTTAGATGCTTATGGTGGATGAAGATGGATGGGCTTTCGTAATTTTGCGGCAAAACTACTAAGAAATTATATTACGATTTTCGTACTTAGTCGAAACAATGCGGGTTACTTGACTTATAGACAGTAATAAAGCGAGTGCGCTTGCAAGAAGTGGAAAGCAGCAATTCGAGGATTGACCTTTTAAGTAGGGGGACTTGGCGCCGTCATACGTTTACGACAAGCATTATGGGTACTTACTTCAGACCGGCAATTATCTCCATAGCTGAATTAAAGTTTCCGGTATTCCAACAGGTTAGCGCGACGCGTAGAAGACAGGACAGCACTGCCTGTCGTTCTTCTACCGTGGCACAGCTGCTGATCGCGTGAGTGGCCCATGAGCTTACCTAATTAACACAAACACGATTAATGATTACTTCATTTGCAAATCGCCAATACTCTTTATGTATATCAGAATGCGGATTTCGATGTCGTTGAACTGAAAGCCACAATGTATGTTTTTGACAAATCTAATACATAGAATTTATTCTTATAATTATAATTAGAATCCGATCGAAATTTTTATCGAAACTGAAAACGAACGCTTACTACGTGTCAGTTTCGACTGAAATCATGTAACTCTTCTTCATAAATATTAATTTTAATGTACGTAATTATCGTTTCAATAATTAAATTACGATGTTTATGAAGAAGAAGTATTCTTTGGTCTAAATTGACACGCAATCAAAATTTCGGTTTTCGATTTCGGTCGAAAATTTATTGTTTCAATGAATTATGATATTTATGAAGAAAAAGTATATGATATATGAGTATGTCTATAAGGTTTCGGTTGAAATTGACATGTAGCCGAATGTTTCGGTTCAGTTTCAACAAAAGTTTTCGGTCGGACTCTAATTATAATTTGTTTATAATGTAATTGTATTTATTCCTATAGAACGACTAATATTTAATTTTTTTATTTAATACAAAATTGGTAAGATATAGAGATTTATCACATTTATTATGAGTAAAATAATGGAAGTTTGGAACTAAGAAAACTTGCCAAATACGGATGTAATATATTTAGCGATGTAAAAGTGATACAAAAAATATATCAATTAAAACATTAAACATTTACAATGTTCCAAACTTCGGTCTTTTACTCACAATTAATGATTAATAAGCCTAATAGATCTCACATCTTAACTATTATTGACTTTTTTTATATTTAATCGAAAAGATGAAAGATGAGTTGTTCTCTTATACTACCGACTTTTATTTATGCTTCGCAATTCGAGTTTTACATTTTGTGTAACAAAATGGAAGTTATCCTATTGTAAGATAATTGCAGAACATTGCAGTTATTCATAAGAAATGACCAGAATTTTCCCACGCTATCCGAGGCTTCTGTTTAACACGATGATAAAAAGAACAATGTGAAAAACGGAGAGATAGAGAATCCAAGGTAGATTTCCTACCTTGAGCGAAGATTTAGAGTGGGAAATGGCAGTAGGGGTAGCGGAAACGACTAAGCGAGGTCAGATGATATTCGTACGTGTATACATATATGTGTGTACATGTGCGAGTAAAGTGGGTGAAAGTGTTTGGTGAAAACGTACGGAAAGCTGCTGGAGGAGTGGATACCTCATTAAAAGCGGCTGATGAGAGTTTCCGCGGGATTAAAAACCGAGAGATTTCTTGGCGTAGAGCTTTTTCCTTCACGATGGAGGTTGATTCATGTCTATTATCATCTTCGGTACAATTATTTTTCTTCTTATTTACATAAAATAATAATAATTCTTTGTTGATTAGAAATAGTAATCTAGAGAACCCGTTCGTAGCATTTCGTAATTGTAATCAAAAGACGTCTACGATCTACGTGCCTTTGAAAAATGCAAATACAGGAGGAAGAATTAAATGTACCTCATTGAAACGATCAATGAGGATCTGCACGGTAGAGTACACCGTGGCAACAGGCCAGGATAATTCGTCCTCAGTTTGGGTCGAGCTGTTAGTGGTGCTGGGGTTGCTGCAGCTGTGACTCGGCGACGGGGGTGGCCTGGCAGGTGGTTTTTGCAACGTGGTTTGATCCTGTGTCACGTGCCTCAGGTACTCGTGCGGTGGTACCTGGTAGAATAGATGGTACTCGCTTTCCGTCAACCTGAGCGCCACCTCCTCGGGGAAGTGCAGCAGCTTATGCAGATCCTCCAGCTCCTCAGAGCTCCGAGGCGGCTGCGGCTGCGGCCGCTTCTCCAGCTCTGAAAATGTTTATCAATTATATTACAATGAGAAATTATAAACTAACACAAAACTAATAAGTTTTTTTATAGACTTTAATTACAATTTAGAAATATATGATAATAATATAAAATACAGGCAATAGGAGTCAACATTGGTTATCAATTAACGCGATTCTTAATATTAAATATATAAATCTTAATCTTGAACGTTTCCATTCATGGTTTGAGAAATCTTTCTTCATCAGCAATCTTTTTCCCTAACGGTTGGATTATTGCATTACAAAATAATATCTCCAACGTTTTTCCTCTCAAAAAGTTGAACCGTTAGGTAAGTCACTTAATCACAAAGTTAGAAAGCTGGCAATGAAAACTCAAGCTAAAATTATATAAATGATTAAATTATCGTATGTATAAATTTGAAAATTAATCATTCACTTTATCTTACACAGTCGATGCCTCAACATTGAACAACAAATATGTCGTGTGCAACATTTTGTACATTAATAAGTGTAAAATTATTGTCAAAATTTTAAAATACTAACTGAGAGAACAATTTTTATCTTGTCATTTCGAATCGTCGATTGAATAATGATTGCTAAACAAGTAAGTAGCGATCAATTTGAAGACAAACAAACTATAGTTTATGGCATGTATTATATTACGAACAACCTTACAATTTATTAAAAATCTCAATGTAAGCATGATTTAAGGCAACGATTATTTTCTGTGTTATAGTAAATTTTTTTACACGTGTATTATATTTTGATAATGTTAAAATTAAAGTTTTCGAAAGTATAATAGACTTTAAAATCTTCTAAAGTTTGTTAAAGTTTAACAAACGTTCAAGTTTTTTAAAGTTTAATATTTTGATATAAAACATGTACTATTCACTACGTTCTGTATATTATAGATATAAATCCGTGCGCTATATATTACATATAGATATGTATAATTTCTATTTATATGTATTTATTTATGTTTAACATATAGCATTTTTTAAATTTCATGCAATGTGGCTTATGCAATCTAAAGTTTTAATCAAGAAGAAATTTCTATAATCAATACTTTAATATGACATATTATTGAAGGATTGCATAAATTTAACTTCAATATTTACTAATAGCGAAGATAATAAAAATATACGAAGAAAATAAAAATATAAGAAGTTATATTATATTATTAAAAAAGTTATATTATATTAACACAGAAATGAATGATAAAAAACAAAACATTTGTGTAAATTTCTTTTAAAATGATATCGCGATTCTTTTATGCACAAAATATTACGATAACTGCATATTATTATAGTTAAAGGGCTCAAAGCAAAAGCAAAATGTACTTCGCTATATTGTGAATTACAAAAATATTATATTTAACAAAACAATACGTTTCGACCTTACATCAGGTCATTTTCAATATTAAAACTACCGTTTATATTAAAACAATGACATAATAAAAATTCTAGATGTCTAATGCATTGCATATAAAAATCTCAATATTTACGAAACAACATCGTGTAATCCGATAATCTTGATATGGCCGCAAGAAGCGGCCATAATAGACTCTCCTCTTACATCTGTCCATGATGTCAATTCAGGAGTACATCTCATCTCGATAAAAAATATATGTTCAGAATAATAATTTATCATGATTGGATCTCTTATTAAATGCCTAAAGCTATTTTTGTCCATCAAATCGTGATGAAATATTGCTATGTAAAGTAATATATAAAATAGTAATTGAAACTAAAGAGAATTTAACGTAAATTAAAATGTCGCACGATTCGTATTATACGAAAATGACTTGATGTAAAACGAAACGTATGTTGTCTTGTTAAATATAATGTTTTTATAATTCACAATATTAGCGAAATACATCTTGCTTTTGCTTTGAACCCTTTAACGGATTATTTCAATTTAATTTATTTTGACAATTACAAAAATACAGTATATTTAATAAAAATATTCATTTTCTCTTTTTTTATTTATAATATTATTTTCGTATAATATTATTTTCAGCATAGTTATTTTCAATACGATTACATCAAAATTTATACACGCGTTGTAATCAGGTCGCGCCTAATGAATCATGATAATCTTCATATTCAATTACATTTGATTTCGATATTAACACAGTATTTATTAAATCGCCCGAATTATGAATTAAATATGTGCAAATTCGAAATGAAGTTTATAGATGATTAATGGTATGTATTCGCTCAATTTATATTTTGTGACCGTACGTTTAAAGATTGCGTCGCCAGCAATTGACGTTTCCAGCGTGCCAGTTTGCAAAAGAAACATAGTGCAATTTTTGCCCATCGTTTAACATTTGCCGCGTAAAAAGGTCAGCTCGATGGGTTTTTGCCGATGCGAGCGATGCACGAAATTCAACGCGACCGTCGAATAAAAGTGTCTTTTAGGTCTTCGATGAATAATTCCGCGCTGCGGGTATCATTGATGCTGGAGTAAAAACACAGTTCACGATATTTTGTATTTCGACATCCGGTACGAAGCACTAGGGACCGTGAAATATAAACCAAAAAAATATTATACGTTTGCGTAATCAAAGAAGTTTACAAAATGGAATTGCAAATGTAGTATTAGAAAATATTAATAATATTATATTGTTTTCTTAAAGAAAGAAGTGAGACTTGACATAAATGATAAGTATATCTTTTCCATCGAGAATGAAACATTTAGTTTATAGATAAAAAGGATGATTTTTTTTATTTACAGCTAGAATTATACAGATTTAAAAATAATTTTATTGGATTATCAAAATAATTAGGAAATTCAAGTACGATAAAAATTTTGCAACATTGTTTAACATTCTAACAACATTCATTGTGTAACATTCTAACAATCAGTTTTAGCATTTTAATTATTTTGACATTTAAAATAAAAATTATTTTAATACATATAGACATATTATTCCAAAATCTAACTTTGACTTTTAATTGCCATTTCTCTTATTTAGTTATTTTGATAGTTAAACAAAATTATTTTCAGATTTAGCTAAACGTAAATTTTTAAATACTCCATCAAAATCGTTTTTCCATGTAAACTAAATGTTTCATTTTTAATGAAAAAAATATATTATTTAATTAACTATCGCTACCTTATTTGAGAGAACAATTATTCACAATTATTTACTAATAATAATGCATTTGCAGTCCCATTTTTTAAACTTTTTTAACAGATCTGTATTTAGCTCAATTTTTTAAATAAATTCTGCGCGCGTAAAATCGTTTTTTTCGTAGGATATTGTAAAAGTTAAGTATGAAACATATGCGTGAAATCGCAACTTTTAAATCTGACCCAGTTTCCTTAGAAACGATTAAGAATTCTGCGTCTCGTTAAAATCGAATATGACATGGTGTGTGCTTATTATAAGATGGCGTAAAAATTATTGCGAGTGCATTCATTCGTAAAATGCGACATTCATAAAATGCCATGGAATAATTCAAGGTATCTCGCATATTGCGAGCTTCGACGTACTCTGGCAGCAGAATAATGGAAAAACGCATTATATATTCTTTTTCTTTCCTCTCCTTCCTCGTTGCTGATAGTTATTTTTATAGTATCTGCAACGATCATCATTCACGCATATTTTGTTGAACTTGAAAACTATTTCGGGCTGCCACATAATTTTTGTATTCTTACGATGTAGCGTGAAAAATTTTTTCAATTACTTGACTTTCACGTTATTTGAAAAAATGATTAAATTTTAAAAAATTTAATCCACAGCAGATTGTACTTTCATTTCGTTATAAGCACTATGCCTTCGGCGAAATTAAAAGTGAATTGAGATATATAAAGCAAGATAGAAGATTTAAGAAAAAATTTTACATTCGTCGATATCTCGTTATACTTTAAGCACGAATGTAAGCAGATCTAATATCCATGCGGCTAATTTATCAGTAGGCCGGCAAAATGAGAAAAAGGATTTTATCATGTGAGATCCCAAGCTACATAATCATGTCTTATTGAAATCTCTCTATAATAATAAATGCAATGCGTATAATGTAAACGAATGTTACAAGTCAAAAGAGATCTTAGTTCAGAAAATTTGAATACAGAATATCCAGAAGTAATGCTTCATTTCAACATCGAGCTTCATTTCTATTTCTCTCTTTCAGACCGAGAAGCGAAACTATTCAATGGAAACCCTTTACGAGTGCGTCTCGCAAATATCCCGTAATTACTCCGGGCGGAATTTATGACCGCCTTACGCAGAGCTTACCAAGATAAGTAGGACGGCTCTCTACCGTAACGTTTCTAACTCACCGGGATGTAATTTCTCGTACAATGTTTGCGGTGTGCATACATCTTAAAGTGGAGTAATTTGCCGATATCGCGATACAGTTCTTGTTTCTGCGTGCATTGCTCTTATGCAGGACGATTATCATGTAATGAATCGTGCGAGAGCGGGATGGACTTGTTCTGCATATATAAACTCGTCCATCAACGTCTTCGAGCAAACGGTCTGCTAAAGATTTTCAACCACCGTGCAAACACGTACCGAGTGTGGACAGAGTGGTCGGTTAAACCCTGGCATGCCCCGGCGTGCTCATAGTCAATTGGCGAACCTTATCAGATAATAGAGCGATAACCCGATGAAGAGATTAATCAACATATCGGATCATGAACATAAATGACTCCTGCATAATTGCAACGTACATCGATAATATCTTGTTTATGAATCAATCGCTTTGAACTTAACGAGATAATGTCTACGCTTCTGCAGTTCCACATAGCGTACAGTATTGAGAAATTCGTGAACAAAATTAAATAAAACACAGTCTATAACATATACTTTTATCGATAGTTTATTGTATTTCTACAATATTTGCATTTCTTCTGCTGTCGGAATCGATCTTATATACAAACGTTCCAGCACTTCCAACATTCTAAATATATAAATATATAGATTGACACATGATATATACTGGAATTATAAAATTTTTAAAAGAAGTTCTCGTTTCTTTGAGTGAATCTCATCCACTATTATAAATTTATCCACTATTTAATTTACAAACAACTATTTACATTAATGAGCATAATGTTTGCAATTATATTCTTAATAAGAAAATAAAAATTTGAGTTATACAATATATTGTTTTTTATTTAGAATAACATCAAAAAATGTAATCGATGATATTTCGACATAAGAAAATGTGTAAATTAGATTAATTATTATCACGGAGTAAAACTTTCAATTTTTAATTAGTGTGTATTACACACAATATAAATATTTGCCCCAGAAATCTATGAGAATGCAGTTTCGATAAAGGCTTACCTTATCAGGTGATGGTGCGGCCACGTGGGGTGGAGGAAGTGGAAGTGGCTGGGTCTGTTGCCGTCGATGAGGATGAGACAGCTCGCTGCTCTGTGAAATAGCCAGGGCCCGCCGGTAGAATTAGTCCGACGACCAGGCCGGGTGATCCCCGCGTAGTTTCGCGGTCTGCATCAGGACGGCTCCATCGATATAAAGTCGATCGAGAAGCCCCCTCTCACGCCTTTCTCCACTGAGTTGCTTCCTCCGTTGTCGTCGTTGTCCTGACGTTACTTCTCAGGTCTGGCAACGTGCTGACCGCGATCTGCGAAAGAGAGAAGTATAAGAGAAGCTCGAAGTCGAGAGACTTGGATTTATTATCGAAAGAAAGAGAGAAGAGAACCGGGAAAGCGATTCAAGCAAGGACATTGAGAGAACGAACGATTTATAGTCTTTCGAAGGACCTAAAGTCTACCGAAATCCATTCGAGTGCACTTCGTGTCTTGTCTTTCTGCACTTCTCTTGCTTCTCAGAAGCAAGATCTTTTTCTCACGGACTCATATGGGTAAATTTATCACAGGGATTTTTTTGTAAAGTATCGGTTAATCAACTTATCGTGAATCGCAAATCAATATATTTACAATTGGAAGTTGCATTAACATACTTTAGAAACAATTTATAAGAGAAACATAGATAAAATTTATTTAAAGTACTTCTAGAATTTTTTAATAGTCATTATATATAATAGTTGAAAAAAGATAATAGTTGGAAATCTTATCCAGATTTAGATAGCTATTTTTTTAGCATATTTACCGTAAAAAAGAAAAAGACAGAAAAATATACATATATATTAAAGTTAATTAAACATATTATTAAAAATATTAGTTTTTTAAAAATA